GGCAGGGTGGTACGAGACACCCCACCTCCGAGATTGACCGGGGAAGCAATTTACAACCGGGTTCAACGTATTCCTACGGCTGTGCAAGAGCCAAATAAGAAGTCATATGGGTTCTGTGATACCCATAAGTGGACAAAGAGGAGTATATTTTGGGAGTTGCCATATTGGAAAGACATTCTCATTCGTCACAATATAGATGTCATGCACACTGAGAAGTAGGACTGAGCAAAACCCGATCCGACCTGAAAAAACCCGATATTTTTTTCGGATATTATCCGAACCGAAGTGGATATCCGACCCGAAAAACCCGAAACCGAAAATCCGATTAGTATTGGGCCTAGATCGGGTGGCGGGTAGGGTTTGTGAAATCCCAACCCGACCCGCTCGAATATCCGAAATATATGTTAGTGTGTACTTTGAATATTTAAATTAATACTTTTGTTCAATTATTTGTGTAATTATTTGTGCAATTTGTATTAAATTATTTGTGTAAATTGAATGGGTAGTGAACTAGTGTGTACAATTTTTGTTAAAGTGGCATTCCAACACTTTAACTATTCAATTATAATGTGTTTTGATATAACAAAAATATCCGAAATATATTAAATTATGTAGTGTGTACTTTGAATATGTTAAATTAATACTTGTGTTCAATTATTTGTGTAATTATTTGTGCAATTTGTGTTAAATTATTTGTGTAATTTGGAAGTTTAGTGCACTAGTGTGTACAATTTTTGCCAAAGTGGCATTTAAACACTTTAATTATCCAATCATAACTTTTTTTAATATAGCCGAAATATCTGAAACCCGACCCGATATCCGATAATATCCGACTTAAAAATATCCGAAATACCCGATTTGAAATATCAAAGGGTCGGGCCTAGTATTTAAATAAATAAAAACCGAACGGGTTTAGGGTTCGCAAACCCGACCCGCCCGAACCCGACCCGTGCACACCCCTACTGAGAAGAACATGTTTGACAATATATTTAACACAGTGATGGATTTCAAAAGCAAAACTAAAGACGGTCTTGCATCTAGAAAAGATATGACTATGTGGTGTGAGAGACCCGAACTTTCTGTTGATCTACAATATACTGGTAACAATATTCCAAAAGCAGTATACCAAGTCACAAAAGCACAAAAGGAATCAATATTACAATGGCTCGTGTCTCTGAAGTTTCCAGATGGCTACTGCTCCAACTTGTCCAGATGCGTGGACATGAACAAACTTACAACAACGTCGAGCATGAAAACTCACGATGCTCATGTAATCATGCAAAGACTTCTCCCAATTGCACTGAAAGAGATGCTTCCTGAACACGTATGGTCCTGCATTACTGAGTTGAGTTTGTTGTTTCAGACGATATGTTCCAGCGTTTTGGATGCAGCATCCCTCCGGAGACTAGAAGAGTCTGTTCCTATACTGATGTGTAATCTGGAAAAGATAATGCCTCCATCGTTTTTCGATGGAATGGAACATCTTGTAATACATCTTCTGTATGAGGCTTTGACTGATGACCCCGTCTTCTATCACTGGATGTACAGATTTGAAAGGTTAGTCACAATTTCATTTATCTTTGAATATTTATTTCATAACAACATTAATCTGTTTACCACCTTGATTTTACATTGCAGGTTTCTTGGAGAGTTGAAAAAGAAAGTGACCAACAAGGCACACGTTGATGCTTCAATTTGTCAAGCGTATCTTCAACAAGAAATCTCCACATTCTCATCTTTTTATTTTGAGCGTGAAGTCATCACTAGAAGAAAGAGACCCGCCCGGAACGATGACATTGGCGAGGATTTATACGAAAATGTAGTTTCCATTTTCAATTACCCAGGTAGAGGTAAAGGAGCTGCGACACACCGATACGTCGTGGGCGGAGAATTACAAATTGCGCATACTTATATTCTCATGAATTGTCCAGAAATTTTACCGTTTTATCAGTAAGTTAAATTTCTATATATACTTGTAATATATATACAATTATATCAGGTAGTTGATTTATAATATTTTCATGTTTGACTTCACAGTGAATTTAGATCGGAACTCTCAGCATTCCCTGATAATGAAATTGATGCAATGGTGGACTCTGATTTTGTACCGTGGTTCAAGTATCAGGTATATATATACACACATTAATTATATTTATTATTAAGTAATAATTTGTAATAATTACCCAATTTTATCATGTTATATTTTACAGATCAATAGTTGTGGGATTGTGGACCCTCTGTTACTAGCATTATCGTGGGGCCCTAGTGCGTACGCCAAAGTTTGGCGGTCATATGTGATAAACGGTTACAACTACCACACAGTCAATTACGGACATGGCCGACCAACAGTGAACAGCGGGTTATGTGTCCCAACTATCGGTTATGACAACTCGGAATCCTATTTTTTTGGTGTCTTAGTGGACATTCTCGAATTTGAAATGCCTTCTGCTGGGAAAAGTTTGACATGCGTTTTGTTCAGCTGCAAATGGGTCGATCCAACGTGTGGTGTGAGAAAACATTCAAAATATAATTTGATTGACGTCAACCACTCTCGCGTGTACAGGAAAAATGAGCCTTTTATACTCGCTCAACAAGCAGCCCAAGTTTATTATGCAGAATATCCTTCAACCAGGCGGACAAAGAATCCTTGGGTGTGTGCATGTACTGTCCGTCCGAACAAAATTGTATCACAAACTCAACACAAGGACGTTGATTTAGATGCTTTTCAGCAACAATTTTGCCAACCTCCGCCTATTGTTGAGACGGTCAACCATCACATTCAGTTAAGTGATCCAAATGGCGGAAGTGTTGAAGTCGTGCCAGAAACGCACCTTCCGGACCTAACATCTCCATCTGAGCGCGAAATTGTTGAAATGCATGAAGAACAACAAAATGCTCAATATCAGGAAGAAGGAGAATGGATAGACGGTTCTGATACAGAAGAAGACGCTGTATATGTAGAAAATAACGATTCTGACAGCGAGTAATTGTGTTGTTGTAATTTCAATTTTATTGACTTCGAATATTTGTGCTCTTTTCTTCATCATTATATTACTGCAACAATATTTGAATTTTTTTCTTTATCATTATTATCTGTAAAATAAAAATTACTCCATATTAATTCAACAACAACAAGTTTTTTATATCCATATTATAAATTCAAAATATAATTTCTAATAATTCGAAGTTTGAAACTTAAAATTTCCATAATACACAATTTAAAATTACTCCATATTATATCCATGTAAAAAAAAATCGAAAATTCAAAAAAAAAAAAATAATTTACAATTCAAAAAATTTCGAATACAAAATTAACAAAATTTGCAAATTCAAAAAAAATTAAATTACTTTTACTAATCTGAATATTATAATAAATTTAGATATTAATAAACAACTAACACAGATTTATTTATCAAATTTAAAAGATAAGTACAAAACACACAATCCGCCCTAATCACATTAACCTAACTAACATTATTCATTCCTCAACCGGAAACTTTCAAGAGGCCTAGCCCACAACTCGTGAATTTTCCTTCGAGCTTCTTCGTTGATCGGGTCCATATACTCCGAACATTCTTGTGCACGTTGAAGCATCCGACACAAGTTTTTTGCTCTTGACTTGCCGAATGAGTCGGATTCCTCATCTTTATAATCGCCAAAACTTTCAAGGGGTCTAGACATCAACTCCTTGATTCTCTCGTATGCTTCAACGGTTTTCGGCTCCATAAGTTGTGTGATTAGCTTAAGTCGTTTCATACTTCTACACATGGAATCCCAGTCAATTGGATCTCTATTAGCCATCTTTTTTCCACACCATTCATTCTTGGGCCGGAGAAGGATGTTTTATACTAAAAATTTTAATTTGTCACGGATTTAGTCACGGATAAATCCGTGACTATTCCGTCGAAATTGCCGAAGTCAGACTGGCGGAAGGCGAGGTGTCAGCGGTCGTCATTGACCGGTTTAGTCACGGTCAAAACCGTGACTACAACCGTGACTAAATTGGCTAAACTCCTGAAAACCGGTCGACCTGGGAAAACCCAGTCCAGACAAATAAAACGGTAAACCTGGAAAACACGGGGTTGTTTGATTTTTTCAAAATATTAACACCCCTTCCATAAAGCCTTTTAAACAAAAAATTGCAACTTCAATAATCAATACCATTATATTCAAAGAATGAAAATCATATCAAATTATATTTTAAATGTACAATAAAAGTAACAAATACCATTATATGAAGAATATTTAATAGGATCAACGTTATGTTTTGGAATATTATGAGAGGTTTTATAAGTGTGCAAATACTATTTTAAATTATTTTATTATTAGTTGATTATTATGAATAATAACTGCCTTTTATTTTATTTTATAATTATATGTTTATTATTATATGGTCGTGTAATTGTTGACCAGTTTTCCAACATTAACCGGATTGACTCACCGGTTCGAATTGACTTGTGACCTGGTCATGTGGCGCGTTGCTTCTGGGTCCAGTTTTTTAAACATAGTCTCAACTCTCAAATGTTATAGGGAAAATGGAAACTAATAATCCAACCTTTTAGCGGTCTTCTTTTAATAGTCCCACCTTTTCGTTATTCATGAATAATCCAACTTTTGCACCTCATCTTCATTCACTGGTCCCTGACCGGTTGATGACCTGCTATTCCAAGTTATTTTCTTATCTTTGCAAAATATTATCTTTGTGAAAGGTGGAATTTATGGTATAATAGTTTGCAGAGATAAGAAAATAACTCGGAATAGCAGGTCATCAACTGGTCGGGGACCAATGAATGAAGATGAGGTGCAAAGGTTGTATTATTCATGAATAACGAAAAGGTCGGACTATTAAAAGAAGACCGCTGAAAGATTGGATTATTAGTTTCCATTTTCCGAATGTTATAATGATTTTTTAGATCATTCCTAAAACAGAGACGTTTAGCAAGCCTTATCTTCTCGTGGACTTATCTTCTCCTCAGACACCAATTTAACTAGCTGTTAACATTACCTCCTATCTTAACCTCTGACCTCTTATAAAAATTTAGTAATTATTGTTAAGAAATAAATCAACCATTTCGGCGATAATCTTAGCCACTCCACACAAAAAGGAGCTCATCATTTCTTTCTCTGGAGACTTTTCTTCCACCTACAGTATCAGTTTTCAACGCGTTTCGTCTTGGAGCCATGGACGTTTTTTATACAAGCAATTTCCTGGGTTGTGAATATTCTTTGTCAGAACTTAATAACCCATCTTATTTGAGGAGAAAGCTAAGTTCTTTTTTCACAAATGAATATTTTAAGATTCTTCAATATTTTTCTGCTCAAGTTTTCCATCATTATTACTCTATGCGCAATAACCCCACTCTCAGCCCAAAATTCAAGCGCAGTGAAGGTAGATGTTGGGGTGATTCTAGATTTGAAAACAGAGAGTGGGAAGATGAGGAAGACAAGCATGTCACTAGCTCTTGCTGATTTCTATGGCAGTGGCAGCCATAAAACCCAGATTATCCCTCACTTCAGAGACTCGAATACTGATGATGTTGCTGCAGCTGCTGCAGGTAAAAAGTTATGGCTTTTTACTAAATAGATAATATAGTTAATACACAATTTAATTCCTTCCAAACACTACTACTCAATTTGGTTCCCACCTTTTATTAGGGTATTTGGACCTACCATTTAAAACTGCTTCCATTCTTTGGAGCAGAAACAAATATTGGAGTACTTGGGCATACTTCCAAGTGCTCTGAATTGCTCCTATAAGCCGTTCTTTAGAAGTTGAGGGAAACTAGTTTTCGTAAAAATGATTCTGATTCTATTTCTTCTTCAAAAAAAGAAGCATGCATAATCAATTTCTAACACCCTGTTAGACTCGATTGCTTTCTGGGTTATGAAAATTTGGTTCAATTTAGTTTTCGTACATATTTTATTCAAAAAGTGCATCAAAGTTCTTTTGTTTGATGTATTGTGTATCTAATACTCTCAAATGAAATGAAAGTGTGTTGATTTGTTTTTTATAGTTTAGGAATCTTTATCAATTGAAGTGCATATTTGATCATCCACGAGCGATTTCCATACTACTAACTTTATTGTTTCAGAGTGTTGCATTAATGATATTGTAATATAAGAGGGTCTGACCCATATTTGATCATCCACGAGCGATTTCCATACTACTAACTTTATTGTTTTAGAGTGTTGCATTAATGATAGTGTTTAGAGTGTTTGCATATTTTGCATATCAGAATGAAGTTTCCTTAATATAAAAAGGGAATTTTATCAATTTAGGACGCGAAAGATAGATGAATTATCAATCCGGGACCTGAAAGATGAAATGTATCAATATAGGACCCAGATGATGAAAAACTATCAATTTAGGACCCGAATGATTGAAAATTATCAATCTAGGACCTAAGTTGTCATGAATTTTATTTTTTTTATTTTTTTGAAAATTTTAAATATTGTTTAGTTTTATTGAACTAATAAACTTTTGTGAAGAAAACTTCATCAAATATTATCAATGGAGTTAATAAATATTAAATAAATCAAAACCTATGAAATGTTAGGTCTCATATTGATAGTTTTCCATCATTCAGGCCCTATACCAATACATTTCATCTTTCAGGTCCCGAATTGATAATTTATCTATCTTTCGGGTCCTGAATTGATAAAATTCCGTAGTGGGGTTCACTTGCTTAAAAATGCGAAATTTTCACTTTTAATGTTTGATGGTTCACTTTTTCTTTGTACATTTCACTTATTCGGGATAGATGATAAAAAGAATCACTTAATACAAAAATGTCATTGCTTTTCTCTTCATTTTGTCCAAAATGCCACAACTTTCACCTCAATTTTGGAATTTTATCAATATAGAGGTAGATTCAAGTAAAAAGTGGAATAGTATTTCGATTAAAAATTAGAATACATTTCGGCCTTTGATCTTTTGAGATTGGATGGATTAGAAGAATTTTTAACTAAAAGACACAATGACCAAACAGTGTGCAAATATTTATAATGTTAAGTGAATCATATATAGATAAATGTAGGGGTGATTCGGGACGGTATACCGTATATTTCTTCTCATACCTTTGCCGTATCAAAATTTTCGGTATGCAAAATTCATATACTGTTACCTTAGCGAAGTTTCGGTATATCGCATTTCGGTATACCGAAGTTTCGGTTCGGTAACGGTACGGTATCGGTAAATTACCATACATGTCTCTCAATACAACAAATTATCATAGACTAACGAAATATACTAAATCGGTGTTACTAGCGACATATTTAATCCATTATTAAAATGTTACAAAATACAATTAATAATCTATTGATGTCAATATTGAACCATAATTATTATTAGTATATTTAAGCAGTTCAACATGGCACATGTTAAAAAGTAACACATTCTCCTAAATAACATGAACAATATAGATATAATTAAATCAATAGTGATCTCCAACAAAAATAAATAAAATTATTCAAACAACATGAATATAAAATCATTTATTCCTAGCTAATAAAATATTGTGTGTTTAGTCAATTTTATAATTTTAAAAATATATTCGAATAAGACTTTCAGACAAAGTTGTGTTTCTTGACTCGCGGAATCCCTATGTAGATACACTCGTCACATAAGTGTATCCCTCTTCACTCGTCAGCTACTCAGCGGCTCAGCCATCGCGACTCGCAAACTCTTGGGACAAGATGAACTTGTTTCTGTACATTACTCATTAGTCATTAGAGTTAGTTTGCTTGAATGTTACATAGTAGAAGCCTAGAAGGTTATAGTAAGTTTGGGAAATTGGACCTTTATTTTTGTATTTTGTTATTTGTAACCAACCTAAGTATTAATTTTGGGCTTCAAAGTTGTAATGGACTTTTACAATATTTTAGAATTTAAAGCAATTGTTGGCTAGGGAGTCGGTACGGTATTATACCGGTATACCGCGGTATTTGAAAGCATATACCGTTACCGTACCGAAATAAATCGGTACGGTATGATACCGTACCGAAAATGGCGGTATACCAATATTCCGGTATTTTTCGGTACTGTAAGTGCGGTATACCGATTTTTCGGTATTTTTGCCCACACCTAGATAAAGGTGCTACTCCTTAGTGTTAAAAACTCATCATCACTTCTAAACTTATACCCATTTTATATATATTTTGATGCACTTTTGTGTTTACTTATATATTTAAACTTTTTATATATTCTGATACACATTTGTTACAATGTTTTTATGTAAAGTTTTTCACAATCAAAAGTATGCCACAACATTTCTTGTTTAAAGTTTTTTTAGAACTGCTTTTTTTAAAGAGCTTATCAATGAAAGTTTGTTGCTTTTTTTTTTTTTTGCATTGATTGTAAATTTCAGGGTAATAACGACTTATTTACCATGCTTAGTATATATATAAAACTGATAACTTTTATCAAACAACCACAATCGTCTTACCTAACCATCACTCTCAAAAATATTTTTTTAGCTAGTCATATCAACCATATACTATCGTATTTAGTAATGAATGGGTAAAACTGGGGGGTGAACAAAAAAACCGACCTACAAACCGACTGAAACCGACTCAAGTTGAAACTGAATAAAACCAACTACTTTTGGCGGTTCGGTTAATGGTTTCTACTTTTGGGTTAAAAACAGAGCGAACCGAAACGGAGCGAACCAAAACTGACCGCTAAAAACCGACATAAACATGCTAAAACTGACCGAAACCGATACAAACTGACTGAAGTAGTGTAGTTTGGTTCTCTGTTTCACATTTTAGTCTGAAGTAAACTCCACTTTTATTATTGGTCTAATGGTCTCCAATTTTCTTTACCCTCATATTTATAAATAAATAGACATATGACTAAAATTTGACAGTATCTATAACCTGTGCAGCCATAGACCTGTTGAAGAATGTAAAAGTGCAGGCAATCCTGGGGCCTCAAATGTCCACACAGGCAAATTTTGTGATTGATATCGGGAAGAGAGTCAAAGTTCCTATTCTCTCTCCCGCCACAAACCCTTCACTTTCTCCCAACCAAAGTGAATACTTCATCAGAGTCTCACAGAGTTCATCTGCTCAGGTCAAAGCCATTGCTGCCATCGTCAAAGCTTTTGGCTGGCGGGAGGTCGTGTTTGTGTACGAGGACAGTGACTTCGGGAGGGGCATTCTCCCTCATTTGACCAACGCCATGATGGAAGTCAACGTCTTTGTCCATTACAGAAGCGTTCTGGCACCTTCGGCAGATGACGAGCTAGTCCTCATGGAGCTCTACAAGCTGATGACGATGCAAACAAGGGTGTTCATCGTGCATCTATCGCTGGACACAGGATCCCGCCTTTTTCAGAAGGCGAATGATGTCGGAATGATGAGTGCAGGCTACGTATGGATTCTCACGCACTCATGCATGAGTCTTTTGGGGTCCACTGATCCTACAATGATTGATAACATGCAAGGAGTTCTGGGGGTGAAGCCGTACGTACAACCATCCGCTCAGCTGAAAATCCTCACAAAGAGATGGAGAAAGAAGTTTTATGAGGAGAACCCAGCGACGGATGACGAAGTAGAGATGGTAGACATTTTCGGGTTGTGGGCATATGACAGCATGACATTATTAGCCATAGCGCTTGAGAGAGTAGATGCAGCCCATCAAGGATTCAATCAGGTAGTCAGCGGAGGAGAGACTTTATCTGACATGGACACTATAGGGACCTCACTTTTAGGGCCTGTACTCATAGAATCGCTCAGAAATATCAAAGTCAAAGGGCAAAGTGGTCAATTCAATATTGTCAACGGAGAGTTGCAGCCGTCGGTGTTTCAGATTGTGAATGTGGGTGGAACAGAGAGAAGGGTAGGGTTCTGGACAGAAGAGTATGGGCTCTCCAAGAAGCTGAAGCATGGTAGTAGTGATAGCACAAGTGTACAGTACTCAGCTAACATGGATGATCTTGGGGTAATCACCTGGCCAGGTGACTCTGATATAGTTCCTAAAGGATGGGAAAACCCCACAAATGGGAAACAGAAGTTGAGGGTTGGAGTTCCTGTTAAAGGAGGGCTTGAACAGTTTGTGAAAGTGACTAAGGATCCCCAGACAAACAGAGTGACCGTGACAGGTTTCTGCATTGATGTTTTTGAGGAAGTTCTCAAGAACTTACCTTATGCTGTTCCGTTTGACTATGTACCTTACGGAATCCCTCACAGCCAAAACCTGCCAGACTATGATGAACTTGTCCGCCAGGTTTTTATTGGGGTAATACCATTACTATCTACTCTTCTCCTAGTATTAATCCTCCTCTCATATCAGTTCAGTGTTGATGAACAATCCTGATTGGGATATACAAAGTACAAAGTATATAGTAATATACAGATATTACAAGAGTACTTTGTATGGTTTTAGTGTGTTTTTTATCACAAGTGTCTTCTTGTTTTGAGCAATTAAATGCTTTTTTTAGCAAACACAAATATACTCTTTTTCTTTAATAAAGCATTTAGTAACGCCTTTTTTACCGTTAAAAACACTTTTACTATTTTACTTCAAAATGCCACTACTTAAAGTAAACATGCTTTTCTTCATGAAGTTTTTTCGAGTTTTAGTCCTCACTTTTGGTAATGACATTTCTGTTATTTACTTCTGATTTACTTTTAGTCTCTGGCCTCTCTGCCCATTGTGAGTTGTGAGGACACTTTTGACACTCCAACTATTGCGACACTTTTGATCATCTGACTAATATGTCATAATTCAAAGACAAGTTCTAAAAAGAGTCACAACAAACACAATAGTCAGAGGACCTAATGTGGAGAAGTTCAAATTTAGGCATCACAAGTGTTTATTTTAGACTAAAAAGTGGAAACGAGTTATTTTTTCCTCTGAACAGCACTTATACCTTTGAAGTTTGAAATTAAGCTGTTCACAACAAAATTCCCTAGAACTAACCACATTGAAGCACTTGCATTTCTTGGATTCCAACAGACGTTTGATGCAGTCGTTGGAGATGTGACCATCTTGGCGAACAGGTCCGATAGGGTTGAATTCACACTCCCCTATACAGAATCTGGGGTGATAACAGTCGTCCCAGTAAAGCAAGATAGGAGGAGGAGTGCCTGGATTTTCTTAAAGCCTTTGAAAACAGAGCTTTGGGTGACAACAGGAGCTTTCTTCATCTTTATTGGCTCCGTGATTTGGGTGCTTGAACATCGCATAAACAAAGAGTTTCAAGGTCCTCGTCACAAGCAGATTGGGATGATCTTCTGGTTCTCTTTCTCCACTCTAGTCTTTGCTCATAGTAAGTCTTTGTCTCAATGATAGTGACTTTAAAGGTCCCTTTGGATCAAAATGAAAAATGTGTTCAAACTCAATAACAATTATAGATATTTATTCATACTTATTTTATTCATATACCGAGTAGTTCATTTTGGACGTTTTTTGTGACTAAAAAGTAAAATGACTCTCTAAACTGTCTGCGCTTCTTTGTTATGAAGCAGCAGTCAGTCCATGCAATTTTGGACGCAATTTTCACTATGGGTCATCCGGAAACAGTCTCTCTGTGCTTTAGTACAGGGGTAAGACTGCGTACATCCGACCCCCCCTTACCCCACCGTAGGTGGGAGCCTTTGCGGCACTGGGGTAAATGAAAATGAATGAAGGAAATGACCGAGTAGTTCATTTTATAAAGACTAATTAAATCTGTTTTTCATTCGTATTCAAAGTCTATGCCAATTTCTTTTCTCCAACTTTGCCGCCCAACAACACCATATCTTCTGGTGCCTCCAAGGTTTTTGAATAAGTAGTCACTGGAAAAATGCGAGAAACAGCTGCCACCGGTCACAGTGACATGCAGGATTCAGGGTGACTGTCACCCCCAGTGACACATAGTCTTTTTTTCCATTTTTAAAAAGTTATATTTTTTTCATAAGTCATTTTTATATGAAACATCTTTTCTAAGGTAAATCCAAACTTAAAATATCTTACCTAAGCATTTTTTCGTTTCCAAATGTGCCCTAAGGAACAGTTTTCTGATGAAAGTGAAAACCTGCAACATTTCAGGAGAAAAGGTCATCAGCAATCTATCAAGATTTGTCATCATCATTTGGGTCTTTGTAGTGCTGGTGCTTACCTCAAGTTACACGGCCAGCTTAACGTCCATGTTAACAGTCCAACAGCTGCAACCAACCATCTCAAACATTAAAGATCTCATAAAGAACCGAGAATCTGTAGGATACCAGGATGGGTCTTTTGTCAGGGGCCTTTTGAAGTACATGCAATTTGACAGCTCAAAATTTCGGAATTACAGCTCGTTGGAAGAGTACCATGAAGCCCTCACCAAAGGAAGCGAAAACGGAGGTGTTGCTGCCATTGTTGATGAACTGCCCTACATGAGACTCTTCCTCGCGAAGTACTGTGGGAAGTACACCATGGTTGGCCCAACTTACAAGACAGCAGGATTTGGATTTGTAAGTTCACTAAAAACCCTCAGCTTTTAATCTTCATTTCATAAGGCTGTGATTGGAACTCAGAAAATGGTAGGGAAAGGGAAAAGGAAAAATGCAAGGGAAAATATTTTTTATGCTATATTTGACTTCGGAAAATTAAATATGCCTATAAATTTTGAAAATATTGCATAGACTTAGATTTCTCTGACTTTACATAATAGAAATATTTAACTAAAAAGAGTTTGCACCAATATCTAAAATTGATCTATTCAAATTGGACCAATTTTTTGATAAGTCAAGCCACACGAATATAAGGTTGACTTTTTAAGATTTCTCACACTAAAATATAAAGATACACACCAACATATAAAGCCTTGAACTACTACTTTGGATTTTTGTTGCAGGCATTCCCAAAGGGATCACCTCTGGTGCCTGATATATCAAGAGCAGTGTTAAGTGTGATGGAAAGTGACAGTATGACAAGAATTACTGATAAGTGGTTCAGTAATGAGACAGATTGTTCCCAGCAAGATGGAACTCTACTGGCATCAGAATCAGATAGCCTATCACTGGATAGTTTCAAGGGAATTTTCCTAATAGCTGGTCTGGCAGCATTTTCTGCTCTTCTCATCTTCTTTTTCAACTTCCTCTATCAGAACAAAGAGATCTTAGCATCTGATGATGATTCAACCTGGCAAAAAATATGCACATTAGCTCTAACCTTTTGGAAAGTAAATAAGGTCGCGCCTGAAGGTAATGGAAATTCTGGAGAAGGAAATGAGATAATAGGATCGCCTAATGCAGATCAAGAGATTATTTCAGTAACACGAGATACGGATGAAGAAATATAACAAGCTATAACTATCACACCCTGAAATCAGGCTTACCCATAAATGGGGTTCAGATTGGTTATATATTGAAGTAACCATGAATTGACGAAACAAACCAATGGTTCAAGTGGCTTGTTACATCCTAAACATGCTAATATCCATTCAGTTAAGTCGGGTGGGGTGGTTGGAACTGTCTAGGTCGAGTTGGGGTTACAAAAACAATAAATATAGGAAGACTTCCTGTAGAAACTTTAGTCATGGGTCACAACAAATGTTTACACTCTGTTCGCAACACGTATAATCCATTCAGTGATAGCACATTCATGTGGTGACAGACTTTTCATGCCAGTTATCTTCTTCAAGCAAGCTAGTTGTACAGAGAAGTAGAAGTGTAGAACAAAGTGTAATTTGATTAATTTTATTATGTTGTACCTGAACCTGTATAAGAGTTATCAATTGATTATACGTGTTGCGAACAGAGTGTAAATTATAAATGTTTGTAAATAATCAATTATGTCACCGATAACTTCCTTTCCAGGCACTGAATAGTATTATATCTATTATTTCATTATTTGTATTGATTAGACCAGGAGCTCCATTTTGAGTGTTATCACAGATCTTAAAGGTCACTAAAGCAATAAAGAACAGATGGAGAAACTTGATATGAATCAGCCCCTTAGTTTAAAGCAATAAAGTAAAGAGCACTAGAAAGCACCCCCCTCGGCCTCCCCTGGTTTAAGATTTTAAGGCATTTGCTTGGCATTTCTTCATAATACTCCACTCCTTTCACTTCTAAATAAATCAGTAAATATATAAATAGCTCAGTACCTTAGTTTCTTTTTCATTCTAATCCAACTTTCTTTGCCATTACCAAACATGACCTTGTACTTTGCTCTGCTGAGAACATGTATCATCCTTCATATGGAGTATTATAAAGCATAGGTATAGTTTATTTCCAATTGGAGTGTGGCTTAAAGCAACATAGCATCACATCTCTTAGCAGGTACTAACTATCAACATTTATGGAGAACCAAATTGCAAATAAATGTATTTTATTTTATTTTATTCATAAAATGTCTTGTGAACCAAATTCTCCCTCCGTCCCATTTACGGAGTGTTTGCGGTTGCTTCTACTTTAAAAAAATGATTTTTAAAGTGATTTTGAAGAAAGTACTTAATAGTAAAAGTTGGGAGTGTTTGAGATAAAAGTGATTCTGAAAAAGTAAAAGTTGGTAGTGTTTGGTAAAATAAGTGCTTTTTGTGTAATAGAGAAAGTGAAAAGCAGTTTAAAGCACCCTTCCACCTGCTTCCAGCTTTTAGCTTTTAAGTGATTAATTTAAGCATAAGCTGTCATTTGAAAACATTCTTTTCAGCTTTTTTAAACTAAAAGCTGAAAAGCACTTTTTTAAGTAACTGCAAACACTCATTTAGTGTGTCTTTCTTTCTATCTTGGGTTGTTCCAAAACAAATGTGCTGTTCTTTTTTGGCAAGAAATATGGGGTCATACTGGGTTATTTCGCATACTTCCTGTTCACACAAACCATCTTTTTTTGCAAACCAAATTTTTTCACAAACCAATTACTTTAGCAAAATCGTAAACTTCACAATCTCGAACAACACTACATTACTGAACCTCTGTAATATGAAATTGTATTGTTGTTAATTTTATATGTATAACAACAAGAGTATGAATTGATGTTAACGAAAAGGAATTTCTATAAAATCAGTTTTATATGCATAATTTGACGTTAATGTGCAGAAACTCTAGCTGTTTGACGTTAATGAAGATAATTCGATTTTATCGATTTTGTTAACTGTATGGTGTGATGTTAACATAAATGAATTTCCAAAAACTTGCTCCGAACATTACCTCAGAATATAATGTGCATTATTACCTATGTATGTATTACAAGTGTATGATTTGACCTTAACAAAAAAGGTAGTTCGAGAAAGTTGTCCCGGAATAAGCGTATGCTGCAATCATTGTTCTAAAAATCGGCCTAGGCGGCCTAGTCGGCCTAGTCGGTCAAAAAATCGGCCGCCTAGGCGCTAGGCGTCCCTCAACTGCCCGACTAGCGCCTAGCGAGTTTTAGAACAATGCCTGCAATTTACTAATTAACCATGATGCCATTGCATTGGGAGTTCGGGAAAGTTGCTTCAAAACACTTGTTGTGAAAAAGCTTCTCATCGTGAAAGAGATGATAAATGAAAGAGATGGTAAATGAAAGAGATGGTAAAGTAACAAATTTATTTATTTGTAACAAATATACCTCTCTATGGCATGCCCCACCAAATATTTTTCTTCTTTCTCTTATCCAATATAGTATACCTCTCCGGTACCAGCGAGGATCCATAGTACTCAACCGCTAAATATAGTATGGAGTACTTTTATGTTGCACACTTTTTAAGAAATTATAAGGAGCAATTTAAATTTGTTGCAGAGATATTGAAACAATGTTCATTACAAAACTAACTCTTTAGAAAGAATGTGAAAGTAATTTTGGTAAGCTTGAAAAAGAGAATGACAATACTTCCTTATTATTTTCCGTAAAGTTCAAAAGTGATTTATTGTCATCTTTAATAAAATTATTGGTAAATATTTCTCTTTGTTTATCACACCTGAAATTAAAAAAAAAGTTTTGTTTTATACTTCGTAATGTTTACTCCGTATTTCAGTGTCCGCATAATATCTTCAAAGGTGTATTTCTATTTTTTGTCTTTTGGACCAAGTTGATAAAAGTGGTTGTTCCGGCCGTTCCAATTAGTTGGTGTGTTCCGACCAAGTTGATTTTTTTACCTAGGTCATTTTATTTTCTCAATTTCATTCTTCATAGAGGAGTAAAATTGAATGCCTTTTAATTTGAATACAAGATATAAAAGTGAAAATTAAAGGTAAAGTCATGGTGCAAAAGATATGATCATATTTGCTACTTAAATGGTGAAACACTAGAAATGAGAGTGCAATTGATGTTTGACGATGACGACAAAGTTCATTGCGTTTAGACTCCTAGGCCTATTGGGCGTTTAGCCTACATCTTTCGATTGGCCCAACAATGAATGTCTGGACAAATGTTTTGTTGGACAGGCTTATATTGGATTGTCCAAGTTCTAAAGGTTCCTACACGTCTCATTTCAAGGTTTCTCAATTTACTTTACGATAGTTGATTGATAATAAAATTAACTTTTCTATGACAACATATCGATATAAATAATTAAAATTTATATTTTTTGAAAATGCGCTACATAAAAATTGAATCCTCATTTTAACTTGATTGTTTCATGGGTCAATATCATTTGTTGTGGGTTTGGCGGGTTGTTAGCCCAAATGGACTCTGGTGAGATTAAGCTGAATAAAAACTGATAAACAATGAAATAAAACCAACCAAAATTTATGAAAATCGACCAAACTATGGGCGACTCAGTTCACAATTTGAGGTTTAAGCATAGAAAATCGACCGACCTAACTAACGAAAACATCCCAAAACCAACTGAAAAAATCGAACCGAAATCGGGTAAAGGTACTTCTTTCCATTTTAAGTTCTGCCTTTCCAAATTCAAACCGACTTAAACTAAAAAGCAACAAAATCGAGTTGAAGAACGCCCCCAAAGGAGACATTGTCATTTAAGACAAATTACTCCTCTAATATTTTGTATTAACATTATTGTTCATAAATACTTTCATGTTATAGTTTAATATAGTTTTTGAATAGTTGACAAATAATCTCCCTAAGTCAAAATGGGAAAGTTTTATTTTGGGGCATGTGAAGCACTCATACTTCATTGTGATTTTTTGAGAGATGTACTAGTTACTTAACTAAACATACGAATTTTGTGGGTTTACTATTTAGCCTTTTATGTTTCTGAATTTTCATCCTATTACCACCTAAATACAACATACAATCATATAATGATTTGGTTTGCTATTAAAAAATTGGTCCGTCCCGACAGAAAGTAGAGCTCGTTGTACTGAAAAATTATAACTAAAATATACTACTACGTAGTTATTTGTGAAATAAATATATGAAAAAATTAAAATAGCCTTCCTTAGCAAATTTTGAGGGTGTTTGGATATACTTCTTAAAGCTGTTTTTTCTTCTTCAAAGAGCAAAAGTATATATAGGAGTGTTTGAGTTAAAGTGCATAAATGTTCCAAATTACTCATAGGAAACAATTTTTTAAAAGCTGGGGAGATTAACTTCTTAAAAAACGATATGATTCTGCTTCTGCTTTTAAAAAATATAAGCAGGAGCAAAATCAATTTCAAACACTCACTCACGTAGTCACATTACTTATTTATCTTTTTTTAATTACTCCATAATAACTAACTTTCTTTTAATCGAGTGAACATCTATAAACTATAGTAATAACATAACTCAACTTTTTAACCTTTTTATATGATTGCCTGAAAATGTGTAATTTTTGTAGTCAATTCTTGAATTTGGACTTTTTGTACAAATCCAAAATTTTCAATATTTACCCACCCACCTAGCAAAAAAGCGGAGAGGGAATATAGGCTCAAAAAGATTTGGAGAGATATGCAACCAAACACTGTAGTCCAACGAAACAATGGGCCCGGACCGGAGTCGTCATTATCGGAGAGATGTCGGTGGCATGAAATCGCAGCCCCACATTCACTCCTCACTCCTTATATACGTATACATATACGTATCTCACTCATAATCAGTAGGAGTATATGATGATGATGATGATGATGTACGCTTTCCAGTGATTGAGCTCTCCTTTTCTCTGTGTTGTTTGATTGATTGATTCCAGGCATTATTTTCCATCTTTATATAGAGCATTCCCACCTCCATTAAGCAATCATTTGCTGCGATTTGCTTCCTGAATCTCGCTCAACCTTTCTGCCTTTACCAGTAGCTCACTTCACACGTCTATTGAAGAAGAAGAGAGAATATAGGGAGTGGAGTGTCGGATCTGAAGAAATGGCGGTGGATCCGAGACAGCTGGTGGCGGGAGTTTTGACTATCGCCATGTTCGTCATGCTCGGCAATATGATCAAGAGAGACCACTTCGACCCTGCTCCGGTAAGCTTCCTACCCCACCCCCTCAGTGTTCCCGGCTTTATTTAACTGTTTCAGTTCCTTGCTTGTACTTTTCTGTGATTTGAGCAGCTTTAGTCCCTCTGAACTACGCAGTAGGCACAGCAAATGGACCGATTTGATGAGCCCTTATTTGGATTTCAATGGATTTGTTTCCTTTTTCTTTTTTCACTAAAACACACACTAATTCATTTATGGTCCATGGGGCAAATTCATTAGTTTATCCAATCCGGGGGCGTAATACATACAAATAAACACATCCAATACAATCCAGCATTTTGTAGTTTTGTATAGAGGTGATATACTTTATTAGCAATATAATTAACACTCACAAAAATAACCCATTTATAATTGGAGACTAGGTTTGTATGGATTTAGTAAGTTTTTTAATGTGAACCTACAACTAATAACTGACGGATCAATAGATTAGTAATGGATGGCTTGGATCTGGCTCAGTACCTTTCAAGGGGCTGAATGGGTTTTGGACAAATGGAGTATTTGTCACGC